ATATATATATATATATATATATATATATATTTATACATATATATATATATATGTATACATATATATATATATATATATATACATATATATATATATATATATACATATATATATATATGTATATACATATATATATATATACATATATATATACATATACATATATATATATATACATATACATATATATATATATATATATATATATATATATATATATATATATATATATATTTGAAAGATAAGTAATTTCATTAATATCATAATTTCAGTACATATTTACAAAATTTGGTAAGATAACACTGAAACAAACTTTAGGATCTATAGAGAGGGGAGAGGACCCTGGCCGTCACCCTCAACTAAAGAAACTAAAGAAAATTTTAGTATTACCTAAAACCAAGACAAAAGAAAAATAGTACTTCCTTTACACCAAGAAAATCTCAAGACAGTAAGAGTTACTGTTAACTCAACTCATTTTATTCAGACTCCAGACTCCAAACTCCAATTAGCTAGAACTTCTTCATTTCCCGCCTTCCAGTTACAGGTTCGAAGCAGAACATTTATATCCTCATACAGTCTTCTAAACACCAAAACCTTATGCATCCGTTGATTGTGAAAGATCCTACGATTTCTTTCTTGCCAGATATGCCACACAGCAGCACTTAATACCAATCTTGCCAAAATGTATGTTCGATCCTTCACCTTGAATTTTTGTTGGATATGAAGAGCTTCATCTGTAAGGTCTTGAGTAATAGTCGGATCCATCTGCAATTTTAATTTACATAATTTCCAAATAAAAGCTGTAAAAGGGCATTGAAAGAATAGATGGTTTCTAGATTCCTTTCCACCAGAGCAAAGGACACAATCTTCCACTGTTGTAATTCCAAACTTTGAAAGCCTGTCTCTGGTAGCCAATCTATTGTATAAACTTTTAATCAAACAACATGCCATTTTTGGGTTAGCTAAAGAGAACCAGACCACATTGAACAGATCGAAACTATTGTATGGAGTCCTAACTTGATTCCAAGCTGATGCAAAAGAGAACTTACCATTAACTTCAGGGAGCCACACCCATTGATCCCTTTGTTCTGAAATTTTTATATCAGTTATTTTACTCACCAGAGGCATAAGACAAGGAAGCGTAATATTCCATTGAGAATTTTGAATAATGTGAGAAACTGTCCAATGCTCAGTGCCAGTGAGCTGAGGAGTAATATGATGAATTAAGTCAATAATTCTGCCCTCATGAATCCAAGGATCAAACCAGAGGGAAGTAGATTCCCCATTACCAATAGATTTCCGAATACAATTCAGAGCTATGGTTTTGAGACCTAAAAGATGTTTCCAAGTGCCAGAATCCAATAAGTTTGAAGAAGTATTCCAAAAATTAACTTCCTTGATATACCTTATGTTCATCCAATTTGTCCAAAGAGAATTAACTGTGAGGAGACGCCAAATCATCTTTAATCCTGCAGCCTGACAAAGATCCTCTAGATTTCTGAGACCAAATCCTCCTTCCTATTTTGGTTTACAGATATTTTTCCATTTAATAGCATGCATCTTACCTTTCCAAAGAAAGTTTGCAAAAATAGATTCCAAACTGTGAATAATAGAATTAGGAAATTTATAAGTAGAGAACCAATAAGATATTGTGCTATACAGAACTGATTTAATGAGCTCAAGCCTCCCCGCAAATGATAAAGAGTGAGTCATCCAACCCTCAATCTTATGCCTGACTTTATCAATTAGGGAAATAAAATCCTTAGCTTTAGGATAATTTATTGATAGGGGCAATCCCAAATATTTCATAGGCAGAGTACCTTTAGATATTCCCACAATAGAGCTTAGAACATTTGTGTTAACACAACCCTTGCTGTAATATATCCTGCTTTTGCTTCGGTTGATACTCAGTCCAGTATGAAGAAGCAAAGAATTTAACAGATTGTTTAAACCTTCAAAAGATTTCTTATTTGCTCTACAGAAAACCAGCATGTCATCAGCAAACAAGAGATGGGAGACTTGAAGATTTTTATTCATTTTAAAAGTTTGAATTTCCCCAGAGGTTGTAGCCAGCTCCATGCCAATAGTCCAGAATTCCATCACTAAAACAAATATATAAGGAGATAGTGGGTCTCCCTGCCTAATCCCCCTATTACTCCTGAAAAAACCATTTGAGGAGCCATTTAGAAGAACAGAGAAAGTTGCATTAGATAGGCACTCCTTGATCCAATTGATCCATTTGACTGGAAAACCCATGCAGTGCATTATATAGTAGACAAATTCTCTGTTAATGCTGTCAAAAGCTTTATGTAAATCAATTTTTAAACAAGCTCTTTTCCCATGCTTCTTAGAGAAATCCCTTATCAATTCATGAGCCACTAAGGAACATTCACCTATATGTCTCCCTTGCATAAAAGCATGTTGATTTTTTGATATAAGTTCTTCCATCACCAATTTAAGTCGATTACTCAATATTTTAGATATAATCTTGTATATGACATTGCAACAAGAAATTGGTCTATAATCATTTATGGAAGATGCTCCTTGAGATTTCGGCACTAGAGTGAGGAAAGTATGATTTATTTGTTTTAGGAGTTTACCTGATGAGAAAAAAGATTGCACAGCTAGAACCACCTCAGTCTTAATTAAGCTCCAGTTATTTTGGTAAAAATAGGCATTAAAACCATCAGGTCCTGGTGCCTTATCTGGATTCATCTGGAAAACAGCAGCCTTAATCTCCTTGTAACTTACGTCCTTGCATAACCATTGTTTTGCTTCATCAGTTAAAATCCTCTTAACAGTCAGTTTAGGGAAGATAGTCCAATATGATGTTTGATTGAATAACTCTTCATAAAATTTCGGAGCCATGACTTTAATCTGGTCAAAAGAAGAGATAGGAGAGCCATCTTTGTCAATGAGATGTCGTATGCTATTAATAGATATTCTTTGTTTGACAGCATGATAAAAGAACTTAGTATTTCTATCCCCTTGTTGAAGCCAAGATTGTCTGCTTTTTTGCCTCACCTCATCTTCCTCCTTTCTTAACCATCCATCTAGCTCGTAACATAAAGCTAATTCATTAGATTGCAAGCTCTCATTGTCCATGTGTTCATTTAGCTCATTTTGGATGTACTCCAACTGCTTTGTTAACTTTGTAATATTTTCCTTTGTTGAAAAACCTGGCTGATTTGACCATATTTTTAAAGCAGACTTTAAATCTTTTAATTTTGAGACCAACTTGAACATTGGAGTACCTGTTTTTAAATTGTTCCAGACACTTTTGACCATATCTTCATAACCCTGACATTGAGTCCAAAAATTAAAGAATCTGAATGGCTTTGGCCCTGAACTGGAGCTGGATATAAGATGGACAAGAGCTGGAGTATGATCACTAGAAGATGTGCATTTGTATTCTATATACATTTGAGGAAACTTATCTATCAAAAAAGAGTTGCTCAGGGCCCTGTCCAGCTTACCATATATTCTGAATCTTCCATGTTGTTTATTATGCCATGTCCAAGAGGAACCAGAACATTTGATATCAGACAGTCCACAATTCTGTATACAATCATTGAAATCTTTCAGATTCCTTTCTGTAAGCTTCCTTCCTCCAATTTTCTCTGATGTGTATCTGCAAACATTGAAATCCCCCACTAAAAGCCACGACAAAGTGTTAATTTTAGAGTGAATATCATTTATATCATCCCATAAAGAAGTTCGCAAAGATTCTGAATTTTCTCCATAAATAACACTCAACATTAGTTTGAGACCACCATTATTTTGCAACATAATTGTTATCTGTTGTAGAGTGACAGTTACAATTGTACCATTCCAGACCTCTGCATCCCAAGCTACCCAAATTCTTCCTCTACTTGAAGTAGCATAATTATTACAGTATGACCAGTGCGGAGGGAAACATTTTGTTACTCTGTTAGACTTTGCTGTTTTAACTTTAGTCTCCATCAAACCAATAAGACTAGGATTCAAAGATTTGATATGTCTTTTAATATCCTTCCTTCTACTCAAATTGTTCATGCCCCTTACATTCCAAAATAGCATTGTCATGAGGTAGAATTTGATGATGCCCTTGTAACTCTCTTAGGGCCTAAAGAAGCATCTCTATTTATCTTCAATTGGTTATATTTCTTCTTCAACAACAGCTGATTTTTCCCTGTTATCCACTCAGGGTTGTCAATAGCAATAGGAAAATCAATACCTGTTTCATTCCCACTTTCCCCATCAGGGTGCATAGATACATTCACCTCTATGTTTTTTCCTTCCTGATCTTGAAAACCTGAATTTATAGATTTGATATGAGTATTACTCCCAGAATTCACATTTGAATCTATATAATCCTGTTGCTGTAATAAGTCTGCAACTTTAGAATTTACATCAATTCGACTGGGTTCATCATGAGACACCTCCTCAGCATTTGCATCTTCATTATTTGATAGCTCCTCTTTATGATCATACTCCTTATTTTCCTTTAAAATTTTTCCTTCAGGTAGAACATCATCTACATTAATATTATTTTTTCCAGAAATGATATTAGAACAAGGAAAGTCAGGTTTTGTAGCCTGAACTCTATTATCTGTAATCACATTATGAGAACAGCCTGGGACTACTACAGGAATAGTATCAATATCTATAACAGTATTTGGGTTATCAGAACATGACCCCGAAGTAATAAACTTTCCTGAATTTGGAGTTGTAAGATCTGATTGACCATTGTGCTGTTGTTGATTGTCAATCAAGTCTGTCTTTGAAAATACTGTAAAAGGAATTCCATCATTCTTACTCTTTACAGCCTTATTGACAGGCTCTTTAGGGATCCATTTCTCAACAAGTTCTACAGAGCATTGATAATCCACATGACCAAAGTTTAAGCATTTACCACATTTAGGAGGAACCCATTCGTACTCAACATTAGTTTCTAGCCATTCTCCATTTCCTAGATCCACCTTTACAGAATTTGGAAGCTTCGTGTTAGAGGAGATCTCCACAAAACATCTAGCGTAGGCTAGTCTCTCACCAGTTGCTGTAGCTTGATCAATATAAAGAGGAGTGCCCACAAGGCTAGCCATACGCCCAATAATATTATTAGACCATAGTTTAAGGTGTAGTGACGGAAATCTAATCCAAACTGGCACTGAATTAAGAAGCTCTCTCTCTAACCCAATATTCTCAGACCACTTTTTCAAAATAATCAGTCTGCCATCAAACAACCAAGGGCCACCATTTAAAACCTTATTTAACTCATCATTTGAGCCAAATTTAAAAAAGAAAAAACCATTCTCTCTAGAATAAATATCAAGTGAACATGAAAGTTTCCAAAGACGTCCAACACAACCTTTCAGGTGAGAGTAGAAGGGTTTATCTCCGAGGACATAACCAACTAAAGTATTATTCCACTTTTCCACATTAAGGAGAATCTCAGATCTAGGTATAGAAGCATAACGGATACCATTGCTATCAATCGATGGAGGAAAGTATTCTAAAGAGCAATTTTGATTTATCTCACGTCCCATGGTACAAATGTCTTTCCATGATGAAGAACCAACAGATTTAAATTTCCAGGAGTCAGAAAGATTTTGCTTTTGGATCACCTTACTCTTTAAATCTGCTGGATGATGCCTTCCAAATAGAAATATTTTTGTAAAGTTCTTACTCAATCTCTTTGCGATAATAGGTTTTATCTCCCTATTCCGAATACATAAAATAACGATACTTTTGTAAGGCTCGTACGATACTATACGGATATTGGATACAACCTCCTTACTCAGTCATCCTTACGGCAAATAGATTTTATGTCTCTATTTTCGTATATGCTTATTAGTCCTACGGTAATAGGTTTTATCTCCCTATTTCTGGATATGCTTCCAGATGATCACACAACGATGAATAGGCAACTCAGCCCAATCCGAAAAATATACACCGATCATCTTCGAGTATTTGGTACAACTGAGGTCTCGTTACGGGAAAACATCCAAATACTCCTAGTGTGGTACAACCAAGATCTTATTATGGGATAAACATCCACACTAAGCATCCATAACTAATGAGCAATACTTTAACATATATTAATTTACTTTCATAAACTCAACATGTGTCAAAACAACATAAACTAAGTGTACATGCATATATCTCGATTTGCGTATCTATATCTGGTGTTCACCATCATCCCAGCTGTTAAACAACTCTTAAACATCATAATATAATTATACAAGATCGAGAAACTCTCTCAAAAATCAAAAAGTGTATCATATAACATGCACAGGCCACTGCCAGATTGGCGGTCGACCGCAGAGTATGTGGTGGTCGACTGAACCGATAACATGCACAGGCCACTGCCAGATTGGCGGTCGACCGCAGAGTATGTGGTGGTCGACTGAACCGCAACCAGAAGCCTCCCAGGCCTCAGTTTAGCATGCCATTGACTACAAGGTGTGCGACGGTCGACCGAACGCGATTGTTCAGAACGTGCAGGTTTCTGCACAAATTGTTCTTGTAATGATTTTATGATTAAACTTGTTTAAAACAATATGAAACTTGCATGAAACTATATAAACAGCAGATTAACATCTTCGGGAACAATTTCAACATATAAAGCATGATTATTTGTATAATAAATCATATTTAAACCATCAATCATGCATGAAAACTCAAAACGAAGATCAAATAATCTAAATTCAGATAAACAACGTAATTAATCTCTTTCAGATCTCTAAACACTTATGTAAATTCATTCTTTATCTCTTTAACATGAAACGACCTAGTCTTTATACACATAATACAAAAGATTTGCTTTTTATACACAAATTATTCAATTAGGCTCTATAAAACTTATTAAAAACTCTTTAAAAACGTTTTAAAACAGGGAGAGCGATTAGTAGAGATGAAATGTGCCTGAAACTTGTTGAAAAACATACAAGATGCAAAGCCAAGGTAGATTCCTGAGCCAAAAAGCCGAAAACAACCCGAAATCCCGCAGCAAAGCCTTTGAATCTTTCTCAAAAATTAAACTAGGATTTATAGGGGAGTTTGGTGGCTGCTAGGGTTTTAAAATACTAAAAAAATCGTGAACAAAAGATATATATAATAGGAAAAATGAATATGGGCCTCAAAATACCGAAAACCAACTCAAACTGGGAAAACTAGTTTCCCGATCGGCGGTCGACCCCAGGGTGTGCGGCGGTCGACCGGCACACAAAATTCTAGATACGCAGGACTTTGACCATTGTGCGTGTTTCGACTCATTTCTTTCTCATGTATTGACTTGTTTACACTCAAAATACTAGTTATTGTACTCATACACTAATTAATAATATTTATCAAAATAAATATCCACTTATTGTAATTAATCACATACTAATTCAATTCATTATCCATAAGCTTAAAATTTTTAGGGTTTTACATAATCTAGTATAAATACTACCTAATTTGGGTGGCAGTTCAGAGAGTAGAATGATTCAGAATTTGTGTCTCCTTTAATCATTTCTGCATTTGGTCTTCTTTTAGAGAACCTGAATGAAGCAGGTACAAGTTCTAGAGTTACGGAACCTGCTGTAGCAACATAAGGTAAAGTTGATATCCACTTTACGTGGATTCCTACTTTCACCTTTTGTATTCAAAATTCAGCTTTTCCAACAAATGCTATCATAGAAGAATCAGCTAAAGAGGAGGCCACTCATGATGTGTTGTTGGAGATTTTCATGAACTCGATCAAATGATAAGCCACTCTGAAGCTGACCACAAGTTGATTTTCGATATGCTATCGGAACCAGGTCAGAGTGAAGCTAAAGGACCAACCATTGAAGCTAGTTCATCTGCAGGTATGTATCTTAATCCAAAGTCACTTTTACTCATTGGTTAATTTTTAGTAATCATGGAAGAGTTTTAATTATAGGAACAGCTATTGGTGCTTATACGACTACTATTTCAGAGGCTCTAAAACAGCTTAAGGATTTGGATACTTCGGGTTTAGAGCAACATATTGCTAAAATTCAACCATCCATCTTCCAACCCGAAGCTGCTATTCTCTCGGACCCAATGATCATGGAGGCTTAGGCTAGAATTGAGGCTAGCCCCGTTACTCAAGCTACGTGACTAACTGATGAGGCTAGTGCATCCGTAACAATTGGATTTGAACAAACTCCAACCACTCGTGAAGTTAAGTCAGTGAAGCTAGAACAAGGGTGCCAAACTGAAGGATCTTCTATGAGCATTGGTATATTTTATCCAATAGTCATTTTAAGTTTCCAAATGTTAACACCGCCCTTAATAATTTCTTGAGTATTTACTTCTCCTTTTCTTGAAGTGCCTTCTTCATCATTATATAATACAATCAAGGCGTTGATGTCAGACAAAGATTCAGATAGGGCCGTGATCTACTCGGAGCTTTATAGATTCACCTCCTTCCTGAACATAATGATCGACTTAGTTCTTCACAAGGGATCGCCCTTTAACTTTTTCAAGCTACTCCTCGATCAACATGTGGCAGATATCAGGGAATAAGGGTATATAGACTTGGCTCACTTAGACCAGGAACTCCGGGAGGTGAAGGAACTTCGGACTGATGGTGCTTCCTCATATGTAGCTGCTCACATAGAATCGAGGCTAAAGGAGTGGCATTATACACAATGTCTTCTAGGCTTGAACTCCAAAAGCTACGGAGTCATGTGAAACAGATCGAAGTAGGTTTTTATTAAAAAGCAAAACAACTGACTAGCTTCGATCTCTAGAGTCAAGCCACGCAGAAATAGCCCGCCTTGGGAAAGCTCTTGAAGTAGCCAAGGATACTTGGGCCATCCTGGAATGAGACTTGGCTGGTGTAGAGAGAGCTCGCACGAGGATGCTCAAGAAGTATAAGCCTCAGAGAGAGAAGCTTTCTGAAATAGAAAAAGAGGTTGCTAAGGCCTTGATCACCATTGAGGACTCTCTAAAAGCCAATTTGAAAGTGGAGCTTGAACGAGCTTATGAAGAGAAGCTCTCTAAGTTGGAGGAACAAATCCGTAGTTGCAAGATGTCTGGAGATTGATAGCACCTCCTTTGTATCATTTGTTTTTATTTTATGAATAAAATGAATTTTTTGATCGTTGCACCTCTATTATGATTACTCTTAGTCATCAATGGGTTTAATGAGTCTTTACCGACTATCATTTGAGTTTGGCTAGCATGACGATTGTCTAAGTCCATTCTACATGTAACATTATACTAAAATAGTAAACTCTCTTAGACTTAGTATTATGATATTGAATACCCAGACTTCGTCAGACTACCCGGCTATGTGTGTTAGACATAGAGTTATCTCTGATTAAGGATCGAGATAAAATCTACTATACATGATAGGCATAGGTTTAGGTGTCATTAAGTGAGTAATAACAACTGGCTATACATGTAGACTTTTGGAGTTTTGTGTCTTCTCTTGGGGCAAAGACAAACTCTGTTGTGTCTGTTCTTAGGGCAGAGATGAACCCAATGTTGAAGAGAAAGAAGGTGTTTTTTTATCTTTCACTTCAACGGATACTCATTGCTCACGTGAACTTAGAGATGAAGGATTCTATATGCACGTGCATCAGAGAATCTAGAAGGAAACTCAGAGTGGGATATACACTCTGAGAATCGAGTTTGAGTCATGCCATGTGGCATTAACTCAGAAGCTCACGTGAGCAAAAGGTGAAATTTGGATAACCGTAAATTGTTTGAAGGTTTGATTACCCAATTGGGAGTTTGAGACGACCCTAACTGACTGAAGGTTTGATCGTTAAATTTGATTGGTCTTCTCATTCATGAAAAGAATCGAGAGGGGATTTTTGTTTTGGCCCTAACTGTCTGAAGGTTTGACCAGGTGGGGGTTTGAGATGACCCTAACTGTTAGAATGTTTGACCGTTCAAGTTTGATAGTAGTCCTCTCGTTCATAGTAAGAATTGAGAGGGGATTTTGGTTTTGGCCCTAAGTGTCTAAAAGGTCATGAGCGCTTTTAAGATAGAGAGCATGTAAGTACTATAAAAGAAGGCAAAACGGAGAAAAAGAAGGTAAAAAGGAGAAAACGAAGTAATGGCATAATGAAATTAATGTATTTACCACTACATGTCTACAACTATATCTAGCGAAATATACAGAATACTAGTAACTCAGATCACATGTTCATATTCAAATTGTTGAATTCATTATTTTCGCAATATCCAATTATATAAATGATAAGTATTTCAACTCATGCCCTATTTGTAAATGTATATGCTAACATACACTATGTCTAGTTTGTCACACGTCACCGTTATCCTTAGAAATCACGCACATTGTATGATCTCTTGATATTGCAGACAAGTATCCGTTTCATTATCTAGCTTTCTCTAATTGTAACCTCCAACTTTAGACCCCAACATCATGAAAATTGTGTGATACATTAGCTACTACTTCACGACACCTAACAAACTCTACATAAGCAATTTCCATCTCTCTATAGATCTCAAGCTCCCTTCCTCCCTCAGAATGGCTTCATACAACATGCACATTGTCGTCTTGGCT